TCTTTTTCTAGGGTAATTACACATACACCCTGAGTATGTAAAATAACTTAAGGTCCTGTCGTATCGGTAATTAAATTACCACCTGAAACATTGTCAGAAATACTGCCGGGATGATGCATTGGATACATTATACTGGTAGAATACTAATTGACTATTAGCTTCAGTAAGTCGTGGAGAACATAGAAAGCTAGAGGGTGGGATGACATTCCCAAATATAGCTTAAATCGCCCTCTATGTTGTCTCCGCGACTTCCTGAAACTCACAGTCCGTTAAAATTCTATCGGAATAACATATCCAATGCATTATCCCGTTAGAATTTCTAACAATGTTTCAGGGGGTAATTGTGATTATCATATAACAGGGACATTATTAACATACCTTAGGGGTATGTGTGTAATTCTTTTTTCTGTTTTTTTTTTATTGATTTGGACGGACTTGATGGTTCTGTAGATGCTACACTCGGAATATATCAGATGATTTTGCACCATTTATCTACGTAATATACCGGGTGACATATTTATGTACTTTTTTTTTACACCAATTGGGTCGAGAGGTGGAAAAATAATAATTCACCAAAAATACCAAATATTCAATGCGTGACTTATATTGTTCATGAATTCCCATCTTACTCTTATTAAACCACTTAATGAGCAGTTTCTAGCTGGATTTATATCATTTACACCAAGAATAAACTATAAATAAACAATGGGGCCAAGCAAATTATATCATGGAACAGATCTTACTGAACTGTATTCATATTGCCACGCGTTGGGTAGTTGTTACTAACAGAGTTCAAATAAATGAATTTCATCAAGAATATCTATTATTTACAAACAAGAAAAGAAAGAGAAAAAGCATCTATTTTATATTTATATATATATATAGAGAGAGAGACAACTTAAGCTCGAGTTTTAACGACAGGGAAATTACAATCACCCATTAGGTAAGGTCAAACTACGAAAACCCCTTTATGTTTGGGTAATTTCAATTACCATTCTCAACTATGAATTTTCCTACACGTTCACCCTTATGGTGTCAAATTCAACATAATCTTTTAGATATCATGGAATTTTCTCTAGTTTGTACTCATTTTGTGTAAAAATGCAGTTTGTGATGCATCACAATCTGATATATACTAGCCAAAAAATACATTTTATGAACATCTTGTTTCAAAATGTAGAGCTCGAATGGGATAACACGGGTACAAACTTGAGAATATTCCATATAATCTAGAAGATTGCACTAAATTTGACACCGCAAAGATGAACGTGTAATAATATTCATAGTCGAGAAGGGTGATTGTAATTACCCAAATATGACGGATTTTTCCGTAATTTTACTTTACTTTGAGGCTCGAGTCCTAGATTCTATTTGGGCGGCATTGCTGTACAATTTGATATATATAGTTTTTTTTGGTTTAGTAAATACAGTCTATGTCTATCCTACACCCGGTGAAGGTTACACCGGGTGATTTTTAACCGTTGATCTACACACACCAATGTGGTTGTGTTTGTGTGTTTGTGTGTATATGAATGGTAAAGATCTACCCGGTGTAGGATCTCAAAAGCCGTAAATACTATAGGAAGTTAGTTTTTGCTAATATTAACAAACACGTGGATTTTATTATTTAATTATAAATTAAATTGAATAATACCTAAAAAGGTTTAGACAGTAATTAAATTTACGCGGTAAAAAAAACAAAAAACAAAAAGCGTTGACTATTTCAATCCGCTTTCCATAATTCCCCGTACACACACAAAAAGAAAAAAAAAACAGACTTTCCACGCTTCTTTCTGATTTTCTGTATGTATATATTAATATATATATATTTTCAAAATTAATTATTCTTCCAAATCAAAAAGAAAAAAAGATGAAGAGAATTTTCTGCTGCACTTCCCTCCTTTAATTCTAGTCCTTACAGTCAACACCCCAAGAAGGTGAGCTTCTCTTCTTCTTCTTCTTCTTCTTCTTCTCTAATGGCGGATTAAATATATATCTGGTGAATTTTTTTGTTCTTTGAGTTTCCGATTTTGGGTAGCATCTGTTCACTGAGTTTAATAATTGTTATTTTTTGATTTTTTTGAGTTAAAATATTGATCTTGATTTCTTCGGATTACTTGGGTTTTTGTTTATGTTTATGATGATTTCAAATGTTAGGGCATCCCCAATTTCTGCAAATTATCTCTATTTTGCAGCACTGTTTCTGTAATTATTATTATTTTTTTGGGTCAATTTATGAAAAGACCCCTGAACTTAGGCTAAATGACGAAAAACATCCCACCTATCCGTAGTTATCGAAACCCTCCGTTGTTTGTTCCTTCTTACAATGACCTCCTTACGGTGTGATTTTTTTGCGGAATCTTTTTGATTCCGATGAGTATTTTGCGAAAAATGCTAATTCTACCCATGCAGACGCGCCGTTTGTGTATGCTACTTTCTGAAGAAGACTAAAATTAACCGATGAATATTTTGCGAAAATTTCTAATTCTACCCCTGCGGACGCGACGTTTCTATATGCTACTTTTTGAAGACAAAAGTTAATGTCAGAGGGGTAATGGTAATACTAAAAAATCAAGAAGAATAGATATTCAATGTAAGACGGAGACAATCATCGGTGGGATTTTGGTGATTACGGATATGTGGGGGTGTTTCTTTGTAATTTAGCCTAAGTGCAGGGTTGTTTTTGTAATTTACCCTATTATTTAAGTAAATAATAATAAAAGAAACTTTGATTTTTTGTTGTTTCTCTTATACATTTTGTTCTCTTACTATGTTTGATATGTCTAGTCGTATTCTTACTCGTCTGTTGAAGTTTTAAAGTGCCTATAATTCTTCCGCGATTTTTGCCGTGTGATCTATAATGTGGAATTCAGTTGCACCGAGCTGAAGCTTTACAAACGATCTTTTGTTCTTTGATTGCTTTATCTATGATTATAAAAAAGAAATTGTGAAATATATTAACGCGTATTTCGCAATGTCTTTTATTGACAGGGAAGGGAATATATTTATATATGTAAAATCGGAGTTTTGATAGACGTGTAGAGATTGGTGTGATGAATTGTTTCACTGTTTGTTTTCGGCATGAAACTTCTTCCGCAACTAACCCAACAGTGGATATAAACGAAGGTATACATATATTTATATATATATATATATATATATATATATATATATATATATATATATATATATATATATATATATATTTATTTATATGTATATATGTAATAACTATTATTAGTCTATGATTTCTTTTGCAGTGGTTATTTGGCTCCCGAATATGCGATTAGGGGCAAGTTAACACGAAAAGCTGATATATATAGTTTCGGTGTTCTCCTCCTTGAAATTGTGAGTGGAAGATGCAACACAAACAAAAAATTACTACCTGCAGAACAAAATCTTCTTGAAAAGGTAATGCAGTTCTTGATTCGTAGTTTTCTTATGGTTAGAGTCATGGGATTTCGTTTACGTAAACTGTTTTCATTATATGTCGACAACGAAAACATGACTGAAAAAAATTTAAAATCATTGCGTACTCAACTACTAACAAATTATAAGGAGTTGGTTCTTTCAATATACCTAAGGGTTGGAAAATCGGACCGATCGGGTCGGAATTAGCACTTCCGTAATAATTACAATTTTTTTTCGGAAGTTGAAAACTAATTCCAATTCCGTTCTAAACATAATTGGAACTCGAACTTGTTCCCAAATCGGAAATTTTAGGATCGGAATCGGCATAATTCGAAAAAATCCCATTTTTTGCTCATCCATAATACAAATTGATATTTATTCGTGTAATTTTTTGGAAATTAAAATCGGATCAGAAATTGGAATCTAAAATGTATTCCAATTACGTTCCAAAAAAAAAAAGAATCAGAAATCTGAACTTTCTGAATCTGAAACTGTAAAATATTGATCCAAATTCCAAAATTTTCGGATCGGAATCTGCCGAATCCAGAATTTCGGTTCCTATATCCACCCCTAAATAATACCTATCGGGCTTTTTACGCTTGTTATGACTGGGGGGAGAAATGATTAATAGTAAAAAAAATAGTGTATTCAATTTTAAAAACCCTCAATTCCAATCTTTTTCCAGGCGTGGATAATGTACGAGAAAGATAAGCTGGTTCAGTTGGTGGATACGTCACTCGAAGAAGGGGACCCGTGTACCGAAGAGGCGTGCAAATATATAAAGATTGGACTTTTATGCACACAAGATATGCCGAAAAATCGTCCCACAATGTCTATTATCGTAAATATGCTCAAAGGCGAGATAAATGTGGACGAAGTGAAGATTTCAAAGCCGGGATTGCTTAAGGAGCTAATGAATATGAAGGGGTCGAGTGACGCACAGTCGTCTGCGTGGGGCACACAAGATAAGTCTTCATCCTCAATTGGAACTATGACTTTCACTTCGATATTTGATCGAAGTAATTGAGTCTCGAATCTTCTGACAATTGGAAAAAAAAAAAAACTATTTTTTTAACTGTTCTTGAAGTGTGAACCGACTCCATTGGTGAAGATTAGTAGATGATTGTTGTTATTTTGCTTTTTGTAACTCGTCGAAGTTGGGGGGAAATATAGTTAATTTCAGTTGAATATTTGAAATTATACGGAAACTAGTAAATAATCAAAGGTTTTTATTGCAAGGATGCTGTAGGTATAATGTGTAGTAACTGTTTCAGTTATTCCGGTTAGCGTTTTTTTTTTGGACGAAACTCCGGTTATAGTGTAATATTTTGGTTAGTTGTTATCGTGATTTTTTTTTATTTGTTTCATTTACCGTCCCTCATTCGTCGTGCTCGCGACGTGCAATTTACTTCATTCGTGCCATTTTATTTGTTCTTTAACCGAACAAATATATTATTTGTTGTTTTCGGGGTGAAAAGAAGATTTATTTATTTATACCGATTTTACCCTTACCATTGTGAAGAGAGGAAAATAGACGTGCATTTGTCGCGCGTTTTTTAATTTAGTTCGTTTTCGTGAAGACATGCACACTATAAAGACAAGAAACAACATTAAATACAAACCTTTTCTTGTAAGGCTCCGGGTCTGTTCGTGTTCGAGTTACATGAAGACGAATTAGAGATGAACTAGATGCACTCCCAATTTAATCGGACGAAATTTGAATACTTTATGTAAAAATTCCCAACCGTTCGAGATTTGTCATATAATGAACATGCCCTCTTTGAAAGGTTGCGATTTTATTCTATATATTTGAGTTTATAAGAATATGAATTAGAGAAAGTTGTCCAAGTTGACACGGTGAAACTCGGGAAATTAGATGTTATATCTGATTATTTATACTGGGTGAATTTAAACCGTAAATCTACGCATAATCACACAAACACACGTGTGTATATGTGCTTAGTGAGTAGTTATTTAATCACATCTACGGTTCGAATCCAGACAGTGTAAATAACCAGGCGTAACATCAAACTCCCCGTGAAACTCAAATGCTCGGTGACTCTTTTATCTTTCCAGTTTGAACGCGTTATCTTATTTATCAAAAAAAAGAATGGTACATTACAACCATCACCCTGAAGTAAGATCAAATTACGAGAAACCCCTCATATTTGGATAATTACAACCATCCCCTCAATTGTGTATTAAATCTGATATTTGGATAATTACAACCATCCTTCAATTATGTATTAAATCTCATAATTGAGGGATGGTTGTAATTACACAAACATGAGGGAGTTGCTCGTAATTTAATCTTAGCTCAGGGAGGTGGCCGTAATTTTCCCAAAAAAGAAAGAAAAAAAACAACCCATATTTTCAGAGCAATATTCTAAATACAGTATATATATTAAAGTCAATGAAAGACGAAGTTCAACAGAAATGGTAGGTAAAAAAGAAGGGAGAAAGGGTACTAAGTTGGGCCGAGCCGGGCCGATGACACCCAATTTCAAGCCCGAATTTACTGTCAAGGCCCATTTACATCTACCCTAGACCCCCAAATCAGCCCGACTCCGATTTCAAGCTCTCCTCCGCTAGGGTTTTCAGTTCTCCGATCCATTTCTCTGCATTCCTCAATTCAATTCCATTTTTGCTGCTTTCCGCAAGGTAACAACTCTCTCTCTTCCAAATAGTTTTAGCTTTGTAGTATGTGAGTAATTCATAAAACTGTAGGCTTTCAACTGTAGAGAAGCTGTTGTTGAATTGAATTTGTTCTCTTCAAATTGCGAATTTGTATTTGTTTCTGTAGTTTTGTATTTGTCGGATTTTATACTGATTTGGGGGAAATGAATTTTTTGCTTTTGCTGCTGAGATTTTTTATTTTTTTATGAAGCTGATGGAAGTTCAATAAATTAGATATTAAATCTCATTTATTCAAACATTAATTTTTGTTTATGTTTTTGTTTTAATTTTGAATTTTTAGATGGAAGATCCGAATAACGAAACGGATTTGGAAATAAACTACAATTCGGAAGCGAGCATGGGGGACAAACGAAAACGAGACTCGAAGCTAAGATCGAAAGTATGGCAGCACTTCACGAAGATCACGAGGGAAGACGGCCGGTGCGAAAAGTGCCAGTGCAACCACTGCCAGAAGCTCTTCACCTGCTCGAGCCGGAGCGGCACCACCCACCTCCTCCGCCACATCACCGACGGAATCTGCCCCGTTTTCAAGAAAGACAGCAAAACGCTAGCCCTCTCGAATTACGTCAGAGGAGGCGGGCCCTACGTCGTCGGTCAATCGTCGGGGGGCCCTCATTGCGCTGACGTCGATGTCGAATTCGACCGAATCGAAGACGAGTACCAAACGCCGCTAATGCACATTGTCGGGAAGCTTCCGGAAGCTTCCGTGCCGAGATCACCGCACTCGAAAGGTGAGGCGTGGATGAACGAATTTAGAGGGTGCGTGGCGAAATTGGTTGAGCTGGCGAATGGGAAGATTCCGGTGGGGTCCATTCAATTGTCGGGGGCGGGGGTGGTGGCCCCCGATTACTCGATATCGGCGGCTTTAAAGTGTTTGAACGAAATGGAGGATATTCCGCAGTCGAGCGAGATGTATTTGGATGCGTTTGAGATTTTGCAGGATATCGGAGAGAGGGAGTGCTTTATTTGTTTGCCGCCCGAGCCGAGAAGAAGGTGGCTTCAACGGGTGATGCATCGAAGGCATCCTTTGCGGTACGGTTCTAACATCTAGAAAAAATCGAATTTTGTAAGAAAAAAAAAAACTTGGAGAAAGAACATGTGTGTAATAGTAGTAGGTGTGAGATATGCATATAGCTTTCTTTCTTTGTTACTCATTATAGTTTAATTTGGAGAAGTGTTGATTTTATGCACTAAATATAATTAGAAATGTTAAATGAGTGAGCCCTTAAATTAGAAATTGAAGAATTAATTATAATCTTCAAGTATAAATATGAGGGAGATCAAGAATTACAAATATATATATATATATATATATATATATATATATATATATATATATATATATATATATATATATATATATATATATATATATATATATATATATATATATATATATATATATATATATATATATATATATATATATATATATATATATATATATATATATATATATATATATATATATATATATATATTTTTTTTTATTTTTTTTATTTTATATTTTTTATATTTATATATATATATATATATATATATATATATATATATATATATAAAA